AATTGGATCTTGATAAATCCGGCCCAATGTGTTGATGCTGTCAGCTGGTTTTTCTTAGATAGAAAATTTTGACCAATCTACTATGTAACTCAATGAAAAATTTGTTGAATAAAACTTTTCTAATTGCAGCTTTTGTCTGTGTGAGTCTCCCTAGGTTGAATTACCAGCTACACCATATTTGTTTTCATTTAGTGATCTGTCTAGCAACCACAATAGTATTTAATAACATTAAGAAGACACTGTTACCTTTAGTAAATTTTTTAAGGTAATTAATAAGATTGTACTTAATAAGAGAAAATGTTATACATTTAAATGTGATAGGTATATAAGGAATTTCTGAAATATTTAGGGGCTGTGTAGTGTTGCAGGTTTTGCCCCTTTGCTTTGCAGTAAGAACAGTTCTGGATTTAAATTCCGGTCAATAATTTTTCATCACCTTTCATGTTCTCCCTCTGGATGTATTATGGTGTCCTCCTATAGGCCAAAGACAGGTAATAGATTAACTGGTTTTTGTGTGTATTTTTGATTTTTGTCTTGTGTTCGACCTGTTGATAGCTTGGTGATGTCTCCAACATAAATATGTAGAGAGTGAAATTAAGAATGGGGGTTTTTGAATATTAAGATCACAATCTGAAGTAACACCCAGCCTTATTTTATATATTTTTTGAAATCATGGCTTGCAAAAACAATTTCAGTTCTGTCCTTGTAAACAATCAAATGTCGATGTGAGGGCAGAGGTTGGTTGAGGACCCAAATGCAGAGATGAGGGAGGCAGAGATGAGCTCTTGTAGGTTTAATGAAATGAACAGTAACAGAACAAACTTTATTTCTCTTTAATTAAACTTTATTTCACTGCAGCTTCTCTACTGTTATCCACTCATTACTCCTTCCACACAGGGTATTGCTCACAACCAAAACCATATAAATAAGAACGGAATCATAAAGGACTAGTTTTCCCACTTAGTCCTTGCCAGGGTCGTGGTGGGGCTGGTGCCATCACTGGCAGTCTATGAGCGAGAGGCGGGGTACACCCTGGACAGGTCACTGGTCTGTCACAGGGAGTAAATCATGATAATCTAATAAAAATAATAATTGCAATTGGGGAAAAAGATGAAACTTTTAAATGTTGTTCATTTAACCTAAGATATTTCTTCAAAAGGTCTGTTAATGACTTGATTTGTGATAATCAAATTGATTTATGCTGCCTTAGAGAAACTTGGCTGCAGCAAGAGGATTATATGGGGCATAAATCGGGTAACTCCTATGAAGGACCAACTCTGCCATATTTAAAAATAAATACAGAAATAAATAAATGCTCAATAAATGTATAAGCATACAATTAATTGCCAACAAAAAAGTGAGACATAAATGTATATAACTCTTAATTAGCTTCTTTATTTATTTGCCTTTGTAATATTTACCTTATTTATTTTTCTGTCCTTTATAATCTTCAACTTTATTTTTTAATTACTTATATTTTTAAGTATTTATTTATGTGCATGTTATAATATTTTTGTCTGTTTTATTCTTCCTTTGTATTTTTTTACCTTAGTTATTTCTTCGCCGCTGTTTATTTCTCTCTGCCCTTTTTACATTTCTCTATGCATTTCTACCTCATTATGCAAATGAGGAGGGGGTGTGTCCTAGAGAGTCAACTTCTGCTCATTGGTTGGCTTGGCGGCCCATCTTCTTAACTCACAGAGCTCAGAGTACTAAGTTAAATGTTCTCTTTTCTGTTGCTGTTGCTCAATTTAAGTATGTTTTAAGATCATTTGAGGCGAGAACCTTATACTTTTAAGCATCACCATATGGCCCATTCACAGATTTAATGCGTAATTTAAAAGAAAATGTGACGAACTTGAGAGGACCGTGGCAACCAGCGGAGCTCCGAAGCTGACGGCAGCCAGGTCTATAGCCAGGCTATGATGGCGATTTTTTGTTGTATTTGGCAAAGTTTGGCAAGTCCCTACTCAAGTTCTAATGACTTCAGACTCGACATCAGACTCTCCTCCTGTAGATTTGACCGATGTAGTAAAATGCTAACCAACACGCTTCACACACGGCTATGCCGAGAGAGGGCCGCTGCAACAAAAAATCGCCATCATCACCAGCGATTCTTCACACACGGCTATGCCGAGAGAGGGCCGCTGCAGATGGGCTGTGGTTAGACCTGGCTGCCGTCAGCTTCAGAGCTTTGCTGGTTGCCACGGTCCTCTCAAGTTCGTCACATTTTCTTTTAAATTACGCATTAAATCTGTGAATGGGCCATATGGTGATGCTTAAAAGTATAAGGTTCTCGCCTCAAATGATCTTAAAACGTACTTTTATTGAACAACAGCAACGGAAAAGAGTACATTTAACTTAGTACTCTGAGCTCTGTGAGTTAAGAAGATGGACCGCCAAGCCAACCAATGAGCAGAAGTTGACTCTCTAGGACACCCCCCCTCGTCATTTGCATAATGAGACAGAAATGCATAGAGAAATGTAAAAAGGGCAGAGAGAAATGTAAAAAGGGCAGAGAGAAATGTAAAAAGGGCAGAGAGAAATAAACAGCGGCGAAGAAATAACTAAGGTAAAAAAATACAAAGGAAGAATAAAACAGACAAAAATATAATAACATGCACATAAATAAATACTTAAAAATATAAGTAATTAAAAAATAAAGTTGAAGATTATAAAGGACAGAAAAATAAATAAGGTAAATATTATAAAGGCAAATAAATAAAGAAGCTAATTAAGAGTTATATACATTTATGTCTCACTTTTTTGTTGGCAATTAATTGTATGCTTAAACATTTATTGAGCATTTATTTATTTCTGTATTTATTTTTAAATATGGCAGAGTTGGTCCTTCATAAACTCCCTCTGGTTATGTAAATGTTCACTTCTTTCCGTAACTTTGTATCATCCACCAGGTCCTTACAGTAAATTTTTCAGAGTTCCTATCTGATTTAGTGTTTAATACTGACAAGCTCATCAAAATGGGTGATTTTAACATCCTTGCTGACATTGAAGATGTTTGCCTAAATGCAGCCTTTAATGCTATCTTGGACTTGATCGGCTTTGTACAAAATTTGATTAGTCCCACATATTCTCATCTTCATACTTTGGACCTTTTGATGACATATCTAAGAAATTCCCCAAGATTCTAGAACCTCCTTCTTTCATCTTCGAAAAATTACAAAAAATTAGAAATATATTATCCAGAGGGGAGGCTGAGAAACTAGTCCATGCATTTGTTACTTCAAACCCGGAGTCTTGTATTCTTTACTAACAGGAAGTAGTTAAAAGCCTTCAGCTGATCCAAAATGCTTCTGATGAAAAAAAAAAAAAAAGATCATATTTGTAATATGCTGGTGCCTGTCGGAAAACGCAGAATACGTCCTTTTGCATCCAAAAATTGAAAACATATCTCTGTGTTGTGATTGGCCCGCCAGTTCTAGGGCCTGGGGCATTGATCAAGGCTAGACCAAACTTGCAGGCAAAAATTATTTTGGGCACTGGTGGGTGGGGCTAGTTTACTAGGCTACCATTCTGTAGTATTTGCTAGTTCACCCTCAAACTTTATGCTTTCTCTGCTTTCTGTAATCGTAGTAGCTTCATCTGGTCTGTTTGGCTGTGATTCCATCCCAGACAGAAATCTCAGCTGTTCTTGCTGCCTTCAACACCTTTGTGTATAGATGTTGGAACTTGCCATGTTTTTCAGTGTAGCCCTGTTTCTTTTACAAACTGTATGAGCTCTCTTTCATCCTCTGACATGGGACGGGGTCGCCTGTACAGCTGGTTGACAGGTACCTTTTGTATCTCTGCTTCTTTATGTAGGTTTACTTCTGTCTCCTTGAACCCCAGTGGAGTGCAGAGGAAACACTTTACCAAATAAATTTTCTCAACATAAGCTGAAAAAAGAATTCCTACAGTAGGTCATAGACATGCATATTTGTCAGGAAAGATAAAATAACTTGTTGATGCTACTGTTTATATGTCAAAGTCAAGGCCCGCGGGCCGGATCCAGCCAACAAATTGTTTATCCATGGCCCCCTGGATGATATTTCATTACCGTTAGAACTGCTGTGACTTCGCGGGCTACCGTTGCATTGTGGGGAATGTAGTGTTGGTGCGGTTGTTCACCAACACTACATTCCCAGGGGAAAACATGACTGTGTTTTTCTTTTATTCAAATTATTAATTTTTTTTTTGCACGTGCATGTTTCGATTGTTTTGGTTTTTGCTTTTCCCCCTTTAACAATCCAAGCTGGGCTGAAGTCGGTTGTCTAAGGAGGCGGAGTGCAATAACTGTGCTCTGCAAATGCTGCACGCAGGTGTCAACAGAGGCTGATTGAAGCCAAAATAAAGGGAGCCTGGATGGAGGGAGGGCCTGAGCTGATCCTGCAGGTGATAGAGACAGACACGCTGCTGAGCAAGGGGCAGATGGGATCTGCACAATACTGTGATCGAGACAGAGCACTACTTACAGGCGCGGACCTCTGCCCTGACTGTGCTGTCTGTTCACCTCCGGGTATTCTGTGCCTGGTGTTCCACACCTGCCCCTCGCTTGGCAGCGTATCCAAGCTTTGACATCCCTGTCGAAGTGACTTTGAAATCCCTGGTTTATGGTGTATTCATCTGATCTCCAAGGTGAAATTACTTGTGGTCTGTAGAGTAACTGGAAATTTTACTCAAGTAAGAGTAGTGCTACTCTCTCAAGAATATTACTTAAGTAAAACTAAAGAGTATAGTAAAGTACAACAACTACTGAAAGTAATTTTATTTTTATAAAGTTAATGATATAAATGTACCTGAGTAAATCTAACCAGTTACCACCACCTCTGTAAAAGGTTTAATGAAAATTCAACCTGGAGAGACTCACACATAGAAAATCTGCAATTAAAAAAGTTTTATTTATACAATTCAATTTATTTATACAGGTAACACAGATTGGTCAACATTTTTTTTATATAATGAAAACCAGCTGATTGCATGGACTCATTGACTCTTCAATCCCTCAAACCGAGCATGCATGTAACGACATGGAGAGGAAAGCTCATTTTTAACAGGAAGAAACCTCCAACAGAACCAGGCTCAGTGTGAGGGTCCTTCTGCCGAGGCCAACTTAGGTTCAAGGAGATGGAAGGAGATATGCAGAGATTGACATAAAGAAAATAAATTCTTTGGTGTTTGGGCCCCGGCAGAAGACTGATGCTGTGAATCAAAATTTGCTCAAATAAGTAACCCAGGAAAAGTTGTTTGGGGTTGAATAAACCAGAAGGTGAGTGGGATTAAGAATAGTCTGAGAGTGAGGGAGGAGATGGGGTGGAGGTGGATTAAAGTTTACATGTGGGAGAGAGATGTCAGGAGCTAAATGAAGGGAATCTTAAACATGACTTGCTTCAGAGGGGGTTTGGCCAAGAGATGATTGGCTTAAGCTTGAAGAGGGACATCACAGGTGGTTTAGGTGAAGCTGATAGATTTAATTTTCTCTTAAGCTTTCTTAAGCTTCATTTCAAGATTTTTGTTTTAGAAAACCATTCACAATGCATTTAAGATGAAGTTCAGGTTTGTCTATTTTAGATAGTTTAACAAACATATGTCAATAGTTTTAAAATTCTAAAGGAATAAAATTTGTGTAGAGTTTCTATGCAGTTCACTTGTCCAGCACTTTTTAGCTTTCAGTTGTACCAGTGGTACTTCGCCCCATAATAGCTTTCTTTGTATTTCTTTCTGGTCTCAGCAAAATTATGTAACATTTGGGTCCAAAAAGGGCCGTCAAAAGGCCAAAACTAGAGGCAAGGATTGCAAACACCTCTACTGCATCTGCATGCTTACCTGGTGAGCTGATATAAGCAGGTATGAAGGTCACCCACACTGCACAAAAAATTAACATGCTGAAAGTGATGAATTTGGCTTCATTGAAGTTGTCAGGAAGATTCCTTGCCAGAAATGCTATCAGAAAACTGAGGGTGGCCAGTAACCCAATATAACCAAGTAACACTGAAAAACCAATAGTTGAGCCAACAACACATTCATAAACAATCTTGTCGTTGTGGTACTGAGTATTTTTATGTGGAGATGGTGAGTGGGTGACAAGCCAAGCAGTGCAGATTGCTGCCTGAACAGAGGTCAGAACAAAAACTGTTCCTCTCTGCTGGGAAACACCAAACCACTTGAGACTGGCTCCACCTCCTGGCTTGGAGGCTTTAAAAACAGCCAGAACCACCATTGTTTTAACCAGGATGCATGAGACACAAAGTACAAAGCTAATCCCAAATGCTGCATGTCTCAGCTGACATGTCCACAATCTAGGTTGTCCAATAAACAGCAGGGAACACAGGAAGCACAGTTTTAGTGACAACAATAATTTAAAACTGAGTTCTGAATTGTTGGCCCGTACTATAGGTGTTCCACGATGGTAGAAGAAGATCCCTAGAACAACAGCACAGATAAATGTGCCCAGCAATGAGGCTGCTGTCAAACAGATTCCTAAAGGTTCCTGGTAGGAGAGGAACTCTGTTTTCTTAGGTACACAGTGATCTCGCTGGGGGCTGGACCAGAAATCCTCTGGACAGTCGAAACACTCCAGTGAATCTGACAAAAAGAAGAACACATAAAAATATGTACAGTCAAATGAAAAAAAAAAATAAGACTTCATGTTAGATATAAGATCTTCATCAACAAATGATCACATTTACAGATGTGCCTGAAAGAAAGAATTAAAGAAAATTATAATTCCATTAAAGAAAATTATAAATCATTTACAAGTCATTTAAATAACCACAGCTGAAAAAACATATGATAAATAAAAATTAATTTAATAATAATTTAGTAAAATAAAATACTCATTTTAATTTTTTTTAAGGATAAAAATAAAAAAAACTGTCCCAGAAAAATCCCTTGCTGAGAAACAGTGAACCAACATAACTGTCAATAGGTGCAGGAGTGTGATTGAACATTCCCTGAACATTACAGAAAACACGAGATTTCAACGATGCCTCAAATTGTTCCCCACCAAAAGGCTTGTTAACCTTCCCTTTCCTTGCCTTGCCTTGCCTTCCCTTCCCTTCATAATGTCAATAGGATTGAATATAATGTTTTAGCGAAAAGTCTCCCTTATTTCATTGTCACTGAGTTGGGAACCCTATTAGATGATATCGGTAGTGATTCAATATGTGGACAAATGGATCTAAAATTAAAAACAAAAATATTTATAAGCAAACATCCATTTCATTGTCTTCCCTTTATATAACTCTTAACCATCAGCCACTAGTCTACAGCACACCAACCAAGAGCGTATAATTCAGCTGCTCTTCACCAGCCACAGCAGGGCAGCGACAAGAACTTTTAAGGTTTTCTAGAGCTGTTATGATAACAACTGCAATGTTTCATTTTCTTTTTTTATGTATCGGGATGTGCCGGGGTTAATCCAATTGTTAAGCATGCATGGTGATACATATTGTATCGCCAAATTCTTGCCAATTCACACCACTAATAAACACTCACTCGTCTGATTATTGACTTTTCCTTCAGAGCAGGGGATGCAGTCAAAACAGCACTGAGGTTCCCCCTTCTTTCTCACCACACGTGTACCTGGAGGACAGTTGTCACTGCAAACTGACCGGGGTGGCTGTAAGGCAAACAGAGGTGCATATTTCTCTTTCAAGTGACTTTAGGAGCTTTAAAATAGTAACAAGAAGACACTACCTGTTTGGATTCAAAATTCCAGAAGATCTTGTTTTCATTCAGGGAAAGTTGTTCACCATTGAATTCTGATATTTTAACCTCGCCCACATTTTGAGCTTTACATCCTCCATCAGGGACCCAATGCCAGTTCATGACATCATAGATAGGGAGAGCATCACCATTCTCATCAAATGACACTTGATCACCAAATGAAGTGTTGAAATTAACCTTATTCAGATAATGTAAAAGCTAATGGAAGGCCGATGGGAGAGTCAAAAAGAAGAATGGCTGATTTATTAATAATTTTCCTACTGACATTCACACAGTAAGAGGATTTAGAATACCCAGTCATGATTTTATGAATGGAATCATAGCGTGGTTTAATATTGCTTTGAAAAATAACCTCTGAGGTAGTCATACACAGCCCAGTTTTTTTTTTTTTTTTACCTGCCATGGTTGAAGTGTTTCCAAAGTGGCACAGCTACCATCTTTAAAAGGCCCACTTCCTGGCTCACACTGCAGCAAATCATGAAGGGCATATGCCAATGAATACACAGCTTTGTAAACATTGTATTCTGGCCGGAGGTTAGAAACTTCGAAGAACTCAGTTTCTACAGCTCTTAAATCTTCCTCTCCAGTGCAAATTTTCCCCCCGTTCTCAAGCCAGCCTGTTGGAAGTGGTTCAAATCTACACTGAAATGTGAATTCCCAAAACTGGTTTACCTGAAATAGATCAAAGTTTTTAAGGAACCAACTGTTATGTATTACTTGTGAAAGTGCTATAGTCGATAAGAGATCTTACAATGCTATTTCCATTGGTGTTGTTTTGTTGTGTATTAGGCTTTATTTGTAACAGGAAGTCCTTGAGGCCTGGTATCTCTCCTTGACGAATAGCAATGCCCAATGTGCCACCAAGATAAGGCATAAGGCGAGGGGTCTGAAGCACTGCAGCTGTAGACCAGGCTTCACTTGCCAACCACTGAAGTCCAGTCAGGTTCTGTCTAACAACCTATTTGTGTACAAAAAAAAAATGTAAAACAGTCTTTCAAATGTTAAACTCTATATAAAGAACTAAATGAGAAATTTAAAGTTTTTTATTTATAGAATAAATTTAAATACAGTAAAATGTTGATATCTATCTTTAATTGTAGAGTATAATTTTCATAGTGGACTTATTAATGATACTACCATTTAAGTTTACTACTTTTTTGTACTGTTAAATCATGTATTTGATTCACTTTTATGTTTCTTTTACGTACATTCCTCATTATAACTGTTAGATTAATGGTACACATGTATATCATTTTTGTAGCTAACCTCTGCCCATCATGGAGCAGACCTTCAATCGAGCAATCCAACAAATTATATAGTCATTAACAAAATTTTTTTCTCCTTTGACTATAAACACATATGAAAACAAAGATTATTAGTGTGATAGTAATGACAAATTTTTCCTGTAAATTATATTGTTCTGTACTTGAGGCTATCCACTTGGCTATCCAACTCATAGACTTTTGGGTTAATAGATATTCTTCAGTTTATGGATTTGCACTTTAAAGTTCTTCATTTCAGAGGAGAATTGTTTGTCTCTCTACCTTTAATTTCTGACTTTCTGCATATAAAAAAATAAAAAATAATCTAATAAAAAATAACTCATTTACTGTAATGTCGGTATGTAAATTAATGTTCCTTACTAGATTTATTTTAAAAGAAAAGAAAGGGTATTGCTCATGGATCCAGTAACAGAGGCATTATACTGTAAGGTTGACTGATCCAATAACATCCTGGATGACAATTATTAATAAATCAAATGTAAGCTTTTGAGAGGAGTAAATGTATCTTCAATAGCCATCTCTAAAGCCTGCAGAAAACAGGGAAGAAATATAAGTAACAATAATGTCATATCAGCTATTTTAACTATACGCCTCAACCTGTGATTACTGGTGTTGTATTATGTGGCAAAGCTGACATTACATACCTTTATGTGATGTGTGAAATATAAATAGTATATATAAGTATATTGGTAAGATCACATCAACACTTTTTATTCTACATGAAAGTATCCAATAACGGAGGACCAGGAGGATCAATGAAAAATGAAATACAACCGTTTTAAATTTAACATTTGAATCATACAATTAGAAAATCAAATTTGAAAAGGATTTTGTGATTGTACATTTTAAATATTAATTATAATAGATACATTTCAACTTGAATGTATTCATCCATTATCAAACACTGCAATAAGAAAATGTATTTTCACATCCTTATTTTTAAGTAGAGATTTTTAAATCCACATTTCATAAATCTGATTGTAGATACCTTTCCTTATCAGACATTTTAAAAGGTTACTGTCAATGGTTGGTTGGAGGTTGGTTGAGGACCCAAATGCAGAGACAGGGGGCAGAGGTTAATCTTGTTGATTTAATGAAAATAAAATAAGGCAGACATCCAAAAATCCAAAATACTAAGAACAAAAAAAAAACAAAAAACAGAAAGCATCAGGAAAACTCACGTGGCAAACCAGAAACAACAAAACAAAACATCAAAACAACAAACCCGCACTGAGTGACTCCAGAGGTGGTGTAAATATTGGGACACTCAACCAAGACAGGCCAGTTAGCAGATTGGGAGCAGGTGTGGGCAAGACCAACTAGGAGGAAACCAATGGAAATGGAAAACAAGCACAAGGGGACAGCAGAGGGTAACTAAAGAACTCAGCACTGGTAGAAATAGATTAAAAAGGCACATAAAAAAGAAACTAAAAATTAAACCCAAGCAGAGGGCAGAACCTTGACAGTAACCCCACTTTCCATTCAGTTTTTTCAACCTGCATTTTCAAATCCCATTTGCAGTTCCATATTCTATTTCTTTCCCTTTTATAATTCCTGTGAATTTTCTGGTCCCTGAGCATTCTCTTAACAGTTTTCCTTTTCCATTTGGCTTTTGTGTGACCCTTTTAATTTCTGAGCATATTTGCCATTGAATTAAAGCAATCCAAATTGTTCCTCGGATGTAAACAGCTCTCCTTTTGTTTCAGTGACTGTCCTGGTCCTCCGCATCTAATGACTAAAACGTATACATATCTCCTTAACTAAAACATTGATACCTCTTCAATGAGATGAATCATGACACTTTCATGCGCAAAAACAATGACCACGTGAGCTGTTGATTTCTCAATCACATCCACTATCCTTCTCAGCTCTGGGGGCTCATTGCCCCATGGCAACGCCTCTAAGTACGCCAAGCAGCTTTTTCCAGACAGACCAAGAGCAGACTGAAATGATCTGGCAGCATGGAGCCCATAATCATCATCACTTATTAGCAAGCCCACCCATGTCCAATCAAAGTGTTTTAAAATCTGAAGCATGGCATTCACCTTCATGGGAATAGAGTGAGAGGGTTAGAAGAAATTGTTGTGAAGAATCAAAAAAAATTTGCAAGAAAAAAAAAGCCTTTTTTCATTTTCCTTTATAATCAGTTAAGTGAATTTTAAGACCACATTTCTCACTGCAACAATTTTACCTGGAAAGCATCACTTGGAATTGTTCTAAAGAAGGATGGAAACCTCTGACGATCACTTAGACAGGAGCACGTGGCAAAGTAACTTACCTAATGGAAATGCACATGGAACTCAGATAGATTTTCAAAACCAACAATTCTGTTTAAAACAATCCTAAATATTATTTGGATGGTGAAGCAGAAAACTTACCATAGGTAGTCTGTACAAACCTAAGACACTGGAGATGGCAATAGAGCGTGTAGATGAAGAATCCCCCACAATCCCCAACACTGTAGGGCTTCCCCTACACTTCTCATACAATATTATTTGCTTTGTTTGACCACTTATTAATGCCATTGCCGAACGAAATCCAATTCCAAGTTGCCCACAGGTATCATACAGAGCGTATCCCAAAGTCATATTGGGTAACAACTTAGAGTTTCTGTTGATCTCATCAATTGCATAAGCCATAGTCTGGGCCTGTTTAAATCCTAGAATGTCAAAACTAAAACAACATCACAACTGTTTAATTTATTAAAGCAACAGACAAAATGCTTAATATAATTTTCCCCCCCAGTTTGTAAAATTATATAAATCATTCCAAGCAATGCTTACACTGTTTTGCAGCCCATCACACTTACCCATAGCAGGTAGGATCCAGAGGCTCAGATGTAAAAGATTGATCACGGAAGACTGAGTAGAAATTAGTAGAAAACAATCCCCCAAGAATTACATCTCCTGCTTTGTGCATACTATTCAGATTAAACTGTCCTTGTGAAATACAGGACAACTGATTAGGGGGACTGGCACAGTAAAAACAGAATAACTGTAATAGTAGCAAGAATAAGCTTTGGTCTTTAAAGGGACACATTACTTTAATGTCTCCGTCTTTACACCCAGTTGTTAGATTCTTTTTTTATTTTTACACTCTCCCATTTATTGACATTCACTAGTTTTTTCATCTCACGTCTCACCAATGAGGGTAGAGGAAGAAAAGTAGGCAGGACTTCAATTGCAATTCAATTTAGAAACTGCATGTACACAGAATAACTTTAAGAGATATTTTATGAACCCAACTCTTTACATTTCAATGTAAGACCACATCAATACCCAATGCATTTTTAAGGTGAAAATTTCAATTAAATAGATATCCATATGTATCATAAAGGGGGTTTATTTCTATTTTAAGCTATGGAGCAAATATGAAGTTTTTCCCCCCATTTTTTGTAAACAATACATGGTTGTTCAATGGTGGATTTTTCTGCCCTTTTACATATGGGTTCATGTTATTAAAAAAAGGAAACCTTTGGATCCAGATATGAAAATATGTCTATGACTAATTAATTTTTCTTTAGAGAGAAATACCTCAAATTAGAGTCAAAGTTCTTATTTTGAATTTCTTGAATCAGTTGATTGGCACATATTTATACGGTTATTCAGTGAGGCATGGAAACTCAATGATAAAGACATTTCTGACCTGTTATGCATCAGTAAGGCCACTATAACCAGAACATAGAACATAAAAATTAAAATGAAGATTTGAGAAATGTGGTGTTCTTTTCACTCTACCACATCATATTACACCCTAAACTGTTATCTAGATCAGGGTTTTCCAAACATTCTAGCTTGTGTTAACCCCTAAAAATAAATATAATTAGGTAATCATACTAATTTTTACATAAATATATTTTAAATGACATATTATTTTCTAGTTCATCAATTTTAATGCATTTTTAATTCAAGGTTCATTCACATTTTTATGGTCTATTTAATGTTGGAATCATGTAAAAGATAAACAAAAACATGTTACATCCACCTATTTCATGGGACAATAAGACCTTTGTATTTCATGACATGTTTCGGTGCTCCATTATCCTCAGGGATCAACAATAATTGTGAAAACAATTTGATGACCCAACACTTGGTCTCTCACCACCCCCACTTCTGGAATCCCTGCTCTGGATGGAAGCGGAAAATCATAACGGTGTGTGCACATAGCACAGGAGACCGATTTTGATAATGGTTACATTGCAGGACACCAGTAATAAACCCCTAACTGTTGCCAATTTTGTATTTCATGTGAATATAAATATATCAATCTCCTGTTCTGGCAAAGACTGAAAATAAAGGTATTTGCTAGTATACTTTTTAGAACTTGACATGTATTCATTATTAAATGAGCTTGAGACATGTCAGGAGGAACCTGGAATTTAAGCCACAACTTTCAGATTTAAGATACACTACCCACTTAGCCACAGTTACTCTGAGAATACATCTTTAGGGTCTGGTAGTGGTGTGCTTTGCACCTTTACATTCAGCGTGCAGAATGTTTGATTTTACATGGCCTGTAACCTTGTGGTTACACTTATGTTTTCCAACCACTTCCATTTTGTTCTAATACAACTTAAATTTGGTGAACTTAAATTTGGTGAATAATTATGATATGGAGTTAAGGACTTAGTAGTATTCAATTGTGGTGCAACAATATGATTGGGTTTGCTTCTCAGAGTGATTGTTTCTTTTAGGAATAGCAAATGAAAATGCTCCATTATAATTATTAACAAATGGAATAAAAAAAAACATGTATATATATATATATATATATATATATATATATCAATTTAAAATGCTTATGATTTGGTGTATCGACCCATGACAGCCTTCCTTGTATTCATTCCTGGTTTGAGCAGGATTAGATAACATTTAGGTCCAAAAAGAGCCACCAGGAGACCAAAACTTGAGGCCAGAATGGCAAATACCTCCACTGCATCTGCATATTTTCCTGGAGAGTTGATGTAGGCAGGAACAAAAGCCACCCACACTGCACAGAATATTAGCATACTGAAAGTGATGAGCTTGGCCTCATTAAAGTTATTTGGAAGATTTCTTGCCAAGAAGGCCATGAAAAAGCTAACAGTAGCTAAAATACCAATATATCCCAGTAACACACCAAAAGCAACAGTGGACCCAACTGCACACTCATAAACTATTTTGTCATTGTGGTACTGGGTATTTTTGTAAGGAGTCGGTGAGGAGGAGACAAGCCAAGCAACACAAATAGCTGCTTGAATGCATGTAAGAAACAGAACTGTTCCCCTCTGCTGCATAGCTCCAAACCACTTGAGATTAGCTCCACCTCCTGCTTTGGAAGCTTTAAACACAGCAAGAACCACCATAGTTTTCACCAGGATGCATGAGACACAAAGTACAAAGCTAATCCCAAATGCTGCATGTCTTAGCTGACATGTCCACAGCCTGGGTCTACCAATAAACAACAGGGAGCATAGAAAGCATAGTTTTAGTGACACTAGGAGCAGAAAGCTCAGTTCTGAATTGTTCGCTCTAACTATAGGTGTTCTGCGGTGATAGATGAAGATCCCCAAAACAACAGCACAGATAAATGTGCCCAGCAATGAGGTGGTTGTTAAACAAATACCAAGAGGTTCTTGATAGGACAGGAACTCTGTTTTCTTAGGAATGCAGTGGTCATGATGTGGGCTGGACCAAAAATCCTCTGGACAGCTGAAGCACTCCAAGGAGTCTGACAAAAAGAACAAGACAAAACTAAGTATGGTTGTATGGAATAAGAAAGAAAGACAGGCTACTTTTTGAAAATAACATTAAAAGGCTAAATATCATGAAAATTCACATTTTCAGCTTTTAAATACATTTTGTTCTGTCCTCTATGTCTAATAGTGCAATATACTGTATATATATTAGGGATGGAACGGTTTATGAAAACCGTCCGAACTGTTTGGTTCAACTGTCTCGGTTCAATTCGCGTGTGTGTTGCGTTCGGTTCATGTGCTGCTCCTTTTTCTCATAGGCGAAGCGTTTACACTCCAGAGCAGAAGGTGGCGGTACTGAGACTAAAGCCAACCACCAGTAGTAAACAATAAGAAGAAGAATCGAAGCAGCGTAGTCGGGTGTAGCAGAAAAAAATCAGTTGTTGTGGAGAATTGTGTGGGTATGGCGAGTGGGAAAGAACAGGAGTTGGAAGACGCGCCAGCAGCACTTTATAGGTCTGCTGTATGGGACCACTTTGCATTTAGAGTGACCTACGATGACGGCAGAAAGAAAGTTGTGGATAAAAGTGCAACAGTGTGCAAGCATTGTGCAACACGGTTTGTTTATGCTAACAGCAACATGACCAACATGTCATGCTAACCCCGAAATCCCACATACTCCGTCAGCGCTATATATATATATATATATATATATATATATATATATATATATATATATATATATATATATATATATATATATATATATATATATATATATATAAAAAGCATTATCACCTACTGGTCTTATTACTAATCTTTCCCCCTGAGCAGGATACACAGGTGAAACAGCATTCAGGTTGATTCTTTTCTCTGGCCATACGAGTTCCTGGAGGGCAACTTTCACTGCAAACTGATCGCATTGGCTGGAAACATTTGAAAGGAAAAATATTGTTATTTACAATGCTTGAAATTCCACATAGAAGAGGTTTGCAAAAAGAAAATACCTTATTTGAATCAGTGTTCCAGAAGATGTTGTTCTCGTCCAATGTGAGTTCTTCCCCCCCAGAGATTGACTTTTTTACTTCACCAACATTTTGAGTTCTTGTTTTGCCATCAGGCAGTTGTTGCCAATTCATGACATCATATATTGGTAGGGCATCACCGTTCTCGTCAAAAGACACTTGATCCCCAAAGTTAGTAGAAAAGTTGACTTTTTGCAAGTAATGTAAAACCTACAAATGGAGAAAAGACTTAATTAAGTAATTAATGACAGACTTAGACTTAACTAAAGCTTGTCAATTGCTTACCATTAAATACTTTTATGTTATTTATCATCTTAATTATGTCTTTAAAGGAGATGTTCGGTCATATTCAAAAATTCAAACTTCTGAAGGTACTTTAAATATGAAATTATTACATACTGTTCAATAAATAAGTGTTTTCAATTAAGAGTAATTTTCATTTGAATGTGCTTTACTGGACCCACACGTTTGTAAAATAACACTATTGCCACCTTTTTTGTGACATCACGGTGCGGTATCGGCTGTTGATCAAGTCCCAATGCTGTATCTGGTGTTTATCACAACGTGCCATTATCCAAGTCATCTTGAAAGCATTCTTCTTCAAAATGTTGGCTACATATAAGGTGTTTTTTCTCTGGCCAGAAGTTCAGTGGCAAATCCTCCCTTTTTCACTTTTACCAACAACATCCAACTGCCATGCACGTGGGTGTTGTCAGTTTAACTATAGCTCTCACAAATTTTAATGGTGAAGTCCTCTCGAAATTTAAAAATAATTATTGTTGATTGTAGGGGTGTCTAGTAGTTCCCGTTGATTTTGCTTGTAAAGCCATGTAATGACCATTCCCAGACTCCGTGATTGCGACGAAAATTGTTTTTTTAATTTTTTCACTCATTAACGCTAAATTCATTCAACCACCGCAAACGTATTAGTTTTAGGTATAAATTATGACCTCTTGATTATTATTTGCTGACTGGAATGGTCCTTTAAAAATCAAACTACCTAAAGTAGTCATTACCAAACTTTTCAACTTACCTACCTAAATGGGGATATTATGAAAGTGAACACACCATATAGTGGCAGTCTTTAATTTATCTATATGCATATTTTTTTCGAAATAAGGACAATATTCAAATAATAATTTCTATAATTTACTTTGAGTAAGAGGATCTCAAGTCTAAGGTGACCAGATGCTCCGATTTATGTGGGACAGACTGGCGTTTTGCACTTTTCTCTAGCCATCACAAAAAAAAAAACAACAAAGCAGAATCCCACATTAAACTGGGCCAAAGTATAAAAGAAAAGTAATATACTATATACTGTATTGAAGAATATATTACCAGTGAAATCAAACTCAATTTTTTTTTTTTATTAATTTCAAGTTAGAGATGGCCAAATGTAGTCCGAAATCTGCAAAAACAGTTATTAGACTCGGCACAATATGGAAATATTTGAATAAAATCAACATCATCAACCTGTTATATTGTCTACAATTTTAAATTTTGCACAACAATGTTGTACTTATACAGTGCAAAAAGATAGTTGCTCCTATTTAAATAGAAGAGCAAACTAACCTATGTTGGGTGCAAATGACAAAAAAAAAAATGACACCCTTTGTTGTAAGCCATGCATGTCAAACCTTTACAATAAGCTGCTAAAGAATACTTTGCCTTTTATAATTGAGTTTTTATGCAAATGAAATCATCGAAGTACAGTAGCTGTTCTTAAAAAACATTTACACATATCTGATCATACCTGCCACGGCTCCACAGCCTCTAAACTGGCACAACTATGTCCATTAAAAGGTCCTTTTCCTGGCTCGCACTGCAGCATGTCATCAAGGGCATAAGCCAGAGCATAGACAGCCTTGTAAACATTGTAGTCAGGTCTGAGGTTTGAAACATCCAAAAACTCTGTCTCTGCCAGTTCAATGTTTTCATTACCAGTGCATGCAGTTTCCTTGTCATTCCAATCAGAGGGCTTGAATTTGCACTTAAATGTGTGCTCCCAGAACTGCTTCACCTGGACCACATTCAGAAATATATAAAAATATGTTCACCTTGATATTAATCTATTAGCATTACTGTGGAGGCATTTTCAAGAAAGGAATGATACCAAGTTATTTCCATTGTTGTCATTTGTGTCAGGGCGTATCTTTAACAAAAAGTCCTTAAGCCCTGGTATTTCTCCACGCCGTATTGCAATGCCCAGCGTACCTCTTAGGTATGGTGCGAGTTCTCGTGTCTGGAGAACGGATGCTGTTGTCCAGGCTTCACTGGCAATCCATTGCCGACCGGTTACATTCTGCTGTGCCACCTGATATAATAAATATGTATCAGTTGAAATATCCACATTCTTATTAGTCTGAGTAATAATTTTATAGACGGATGTGTGTATTTCCTCTAATATCTGATGACAATATTTTGAGGCAAATCAATGTTTGCAGCAAGGAACTTTGTATCTTACTTCTCTTTGAACGCTATCAAGTATTAGTTGAGAAAATCTTATTGTTACATTTTTATAAGGAATAATGCAACTCATAGAGATAAACCATGTTGGAGTTTAAACTTAATCAACACTTAAATATTCACCTCTTTCATTAGTTGTATCATGTGAATTTCATGTGCAAAAACAATGACAACACGAGCTGTTGATGTCTTTATGAAGTTTACAATCCTCCTGAGCTCATTTGGGTTACTGTCCCAAGGCAAAACCTCAAGATAGGCCAGGCAACTTTTGCCAGATTCAGCCAGGTCAGACTGAAAGGACTGAGCCACATGAAGTCCATAGTCATCATCAGTCACCAACAAGCCAAACCATGTCCAACCAAAATATTTTAGAATTTGAATCATGGCACGAACCTAGAATAAGGTATGGGAGTTAGAAAACGTGTTTCGAATTTTTTAACCTAGAATTGAAATTATATGTTGTCACATTAATCATGCATACAGCTGGAAATAAAATTATAAGTATACAAACAGCATAGGAACAGATATTCTTTTCTTATCCAGCTGTCATAGATAGAAAATATGTTCTTAAATTGGGAATTAGGATAACCTGGAAAGCATCACTTGGGATTGTTCTAAAGAAGGTGGCAAAACGCTGCCGATCACTAAGACAGGAACATGTGGCAAAATAACTCACCTAAGAAAAGACAAGTTGTTTCAATGGAATCAGACACAGACTATTTTAACATAAAGTTCTTATAAAAATGCAATAACACAAAATAAAACATAGCAACACTTACAATAGGCATCTTGTATAAACCTAGAACATTGGCAGAGGCAATAGAAAAAGTTGAATAATGATCACCAACAATCCCCACTACAGGAGGGCTTCCAGAGCAGTTCTCCTTAAGCAGAAACTGTTCCTCTTGGCCGCTGGCTAGAGATAAGGCACCACTCAATCCAATAGCAAGTGCCCCACAGTTATCATAGAGGCTGTATCCCAGGGTCAAGTTTGGAAGAATTTTGGAATTCTTGTTGATCTCATCGACAGCAAAAGCCATGGTCATTGCATGCCTGAAGCCTAAAGTGTCAAAGCTGTAGGACACAGAGTATAGCCATGAGGTTTAAAACAATGCATCAAAAGACCATGCAATACTTAAGGAATAACCAAACCAGCTTACAGTTTTCTGTTTATGTTTTAAGTATTTTACTAACATATTTAAAAAGCTCTTTACAAGAGAGTTTAATCCTTTATTCAGTAGAATGAAGCACCATTGTCCTCAACGTGTAGCATGTGGGATACTCACCCTTTGCAGACGGGCTGCTGTGGCTCTGATGTAAAAGTCAGTTTGGGGAAGACAGAGGTGTAATGGACCTCAAAAAGCCCACCTAGAACCACATCCCCAAACTGGTGCATTTCATTTAAGTTAAACTTTCTCCTTGAATTACATGTTGAAGGAAGAGAAAAAGTAACACAACACAAGACCATAAAGTAGATAGTCAAGAGTGGATATATGTTCAGAAGAGCCCCCATTATTACCCTCATCCCTTCACATCTTTTTGTTCTCAATACAAAGATGCTTCATTTAATATGGCAGGTGGTGCCATTTCTTTTGCATGATTCACTTCAATGTTTATAGCACCAATGAGGAATAAAGGGGCAGGACATAACACATGACAAGAATAGTAGGAAAACTGGAGAGACATGAACTACGTGTAATTGACAGAATTTATTATTTTTTTTATTATATATTCATGAATTGTTTTTCTTTGCTCCATTGACCCATTTTTTATTACAGTTTTTTATTTTGATGTAACCTTTTTGCATCATCAGTTATGCAAGGACAGAGGTATCTCTGTTAGTATACTGTTTTTTTTTTTTTTTTGCAAAAGTATCCATCTCCCTTGAATTTTTTGCTTTGTATTGAATCACATCCACAATCTTTGATTTATCTATTGGGATTTTGTCAGGTAGAACAATACAACGTGGTGCATAATTGTGACATAAAAGGAAAATTATACATTGTCTTGCAAATGTTTAATACAAATAAAAATATGATTTCTGGCATACAGTAAATTTGAATAGCGAAAAACAGTCAAAACTCCAGTGAAAAAGATTTGCCCATGTAGATAATTTTTTCTTTTTTTTGCCAAAATGCTCAATCTCCGTTTGATAGGTTAAGATTTTAAGTGCCTGTTAAAAAATATTTTCAAGGATTACTGTAGACCTTAGTAACTGTAGGCTAGACTGTAACTGAAAAAAAAAAAAAACATCTGTTGCAAACTGAGTACTTTTTTAGCTAGCAGGTTTCCCTGTTTCTTTTATTAAGGTCTCGTTTTTATCTTTTTGGCAAGGGTCTCTAATTTTTCTAAAGTAAAGCATTCTGTTTTCCTGTAGGGATGATGTGGTCAGGGTGAGAGCAATAGTTTTCATCCTCAAGCAGCATTTTTCATGAGGGTAAATATAAATACTGGTGTCTTCTGAGCAAACTTTTTCTTTATATCTGCTAACCCTAACCCTGCCCTTTATATGGTTTGTGTTCTTGAAGAGTTGTCATGTGAACCTATTCCCCCACACAAGCTGTGGAGCATTATAGCTTCTTCAGGGTTACTGCTTTGTGGTTTTTTTGTAAATCATCTCCTTGCCAGTTTAGATTGATATTTTTGTTTGCGTAGGCTTGAGGTTGGGCTTTCATTTTTGTTTTTCTTTATTTAACCAGGTAAACCCCATTGAGATCTGGGTCTCATTTTCAAGGGGGACCTGAGCAGAGATCTGCAATACACTGCAACCTGGTTACAAAAAATAAAACCAATTAATACATATGTACAAATATAAGACACTGTTCCATAGAAGCTTGCTGTCTATCTTTAAGATAGACATATCTTATATTTCCATTTTCAGATGACAGATTGAAGAGTGCTCCAGAGTTCAACACTTGAGATATTGTTTCAGAACATAACCCTACTTAAAAGTTCTACCCATCCTCATTCATGTCTACCATGTTACTTGGTCTATATGAGGGTCTTTGTACATGAGTATACTCTAAAAAATCCTGGTGACCTTTACAGAAGAGCTATCTTGAATTAAATTAGACAGAGCTGGACACCATTGATAATTTGCAAATACTGATTTGTGATATATTTCTATTTCTCGGTTCACTTCAAAAAATGCTACTGCTAAGAATTTGGTTATCACATAAAATAGCAATAAAATATAATAATATAAATATATAAATATAATCGATCTGACAAAAAGTGAATCACGTATTAATACGTTTTCAGATACTTAAAAGAATTTCTGAATGTAAGTTTAGGGGAAGGAACTGCTTGAATAAGTTTAAATATTTAATTAATTAGGTTGTTTGTTTGCATGTTATTTTTTTTATTTTTTTGGTGTCCTGTTTTGCCAATAAACCTCTGGGAATCTACAGTAAGTCTCAGAGCTACATGAAAGCCCAACAGATTCGCTTTCACAAGCAGACCGTTATACTGTTGCCAAAAGGTTCCACTCGGACCTCTGATATGAAACTTTACTTAAAATGATTAAGAAATATACAACTGACATGGAGATGGAAAGGAAGGTGAGAAAGAAAGAGTGGATAAAAACTAAGAGGGGATTTAAAGAGAGAGAAAGGAAAGAGTACATGAAAATAGAGAAAACGAAACAAGAAAGATAGACAACACAGAAGATACAGAGTAACTCTTAGAAGTCTGCCTCCACACTTGCAAGAAATGTGATGTTTGTTTGCATGTTTATTGGGCTCAAAATGAGGGCAGTGTTGGCATAGCAAGTAACCCACATCACTAAAATCAGTGCATACTCACATCAGCCACAGTGTAGTATGAGTTACTAAGCTATCTCATCAGATCAACAAAGTCTTTCCTCAAAAAGAAAGTTTGGCTGGATGCAGCTATTTCTGCACCCAGCTCCCGAATTTCACGCTACAAACAAAAATGCCATCTGCCCAACTGAAAAAAGTTTAGAGTACAATCAACCCTCCAACATCTCTTAACTTGACTTGCCAAAACATGACAACAAAAGAGAAACAGAGAGGTTACCTGTCAAGAAATGGTAGGGTTCCACAGGGGTAGCTACCTTAAACCAGGTGAGTAATCAAGCCACAATAAATGCAGGGCTGCAACTTTCTTCAAGAGAGAATTCATTCATCAAACAATAGTAGATTGACTTTGGAATTAGAACTCGATGAAAGTCTTCTAGCATGAAAAACTTTATTGAACAGCAGAACTGATTTTTCCCCTTTTTATTACAACATTCTTTTATTATAAGAATTCAGGCTAGAACAAAATTTTTAAACATGGTCTGTGGGTAATTTCAGAGTAAGATTATGGTATAAAATTGTATGCTTTATAACTCTAATTTCACAGGAGCAAATTCAGAAATGGCAGTAAAAAAAATAAATCCATTGCATTTTCAAAGCCTTTCGGTGCTTTAGATTCAAGGTTTTATGTGAAATCCTGAACAGAACTGAATCAGATTATGTTTGGGTGATATTTTATGTCTCAAACCTACCCTTGAGGATAATATGTGTGGCCACTTCACTCTATTTTCCATTTAGTTTTCATAAATCAATTAAAATGTTTTAAATCAAACTTTTTTTCCATTTAGTGCTGTTGTACATGCAAGAAGAGATGATTTTAGCTAGATTTTTTATCCCTCTATTAGATTCTATTGACAGAACAACCAAACTTCAGAGTTGCACGCTGGGGAAATACACTCAGGAGATAAAAAGTGAGTGTATAATGAAATACCCCAAAGAGAGAAACATAAGTGAATAATATCATTTCCACAATCTTTAATTGTTTGGCATGGACAGTTTAATATTTTGTGGTTCCATGACCCATTAATGCGTTTTTTTTATTTCTCTCTGAAGATTTCTTGCTAAGAATGCTGACATAAAGCTGATAAAAGCTAATAAGCCAATGTAGCAAAGTAAAACAGCAAATCCATAAGTTGAACCAATTTCACATTCATAAACTATTGTGTCATTTTGGTAACGTGTGTTTTTATGCGGCATCGGTGAAGCAGAAATGGTACACACAGTGCAGACTAGGGCTTGAATGCAAGTGGGAACAAAAACGGTTCTTCTTTGTTGTGTTGAACCAAACCTTTTTAACACTGCTCCACCTGCTGGTTTGGAAGCTTTAAACACAGCCCGAACCACCGTGGTTTTAACCAGTATGCATGAGACACAAAACACAAAGCTTATCCCAAATACTACTTGCCTCAGCTGACATATCTACAGCCTGGGACATCCAATGAAAAGCAGAGAACAAAGGAAGGACAATTTAAGTGACACTAAAAACAGGAAGCTTAGCTCTGCATTATTGGCTGGTACAATGGGATTGCTGCTATGATAGGTCAAGATTCCCAGAACTTTTGAAGTTATTTAATTATATGTTATATACACACAAGCATACATATACATATATACTCACAGCTTTTGCTTTGATTCTTACCTCTTCTATCAGCATAAAGGTGTGAATCTCATGGGTAAACACAATGACAATGTGAGCTGTGGACAACTATCAAATTTATAATTCTCTTCAGTCCAGCTGGTTTGCTATCCTAAGGCAAAACCTTAAGATATGCCAGACAAGCTACCCCAGTTTTTGAAAGTTATTATTGAAAAGACTGGGCAACATAGAATCTGTAATCATCATCAAAAGCCTATCCGCATCCAAAATTCATCTTAAAAGTCCTCTGATCCATTTGTATGCTCGTGTGCGCAGGCGTTTCAACCCACCTCCAGCCTCTCCTCCAACTTCGTAGCTAAAGCTTCATCAGAGTGTCATTCCTCCTGGACTCTTACTGTGTTTCCTGTCTCATCTCAACCGGTCCGGCAGAAGACCACCATGTTGAGCCTGGTTCTGCCAGAGGTCACTTCCCATTGGGGAGTTTTTCCTCTCCACTGTCGCTTCATACTTGCTTATCATGGACAGGTTCTCTTAACCTGTGTTATCCAACTGGACTTCCATCTTTCAGGTCCCTGAGTGAAGCTCTAGTATCAGCCGACGCAATCCACTTGATCTCCCCTTAAAGCTCAGCATACCGTCTCACTAATCAGCAGTCTACAGACTGACCAACTTCATCTATCCATCCCACCACCAGTTTCAGGCCTGGGGGGAAAGAGCCCTAGTCTTTGCTCCTGTTCATGCATATCTATCAAAATTAAGTGCTATGTTTCCTGCCAAGGTCTGAGCGCCAAAGACAAAGTAATTGTATCAATAAATTTCTCCTAATTGTCCTTTCTCTTCGTGTGAGTTTTTCAGATTGAACTAAAAATAATAATAATTTATTGTATTCAATGTGAAATACCCTTTACAGGTTGGTTGTTCTGGTTCTGATGTATATGTGATTTCAGGAAATATAGAAGTCTAGTGGACCTCAAATAGCCCACCTAGGACCACATCACCTCGCCTATGCATTTCATTAAGATCAAACCTTTGTAGTCTACAAGAAGAAAAAATATATACAGGTGCTGGTCATAAAATTAGAATATCATGAAAAAGTAGATTGATTTCAGTAATTCCATTTAAAAAGTGAAACTTGTATATTATATTCATACATTACATACAAACTCATATATTTCAGATGTTTATTTTGTTTAATTTTGATGATTACAAATGACAACAAATGAAAATCTCAAATTCATCATATCAGAAAATTAGAATATTACTGAAGACCAATAAAAACAAAGGATTTATAGAAATGTTGGCCAACTGAAAAGTATGAACATGAAAAGTATGAGCATGTACAGCACTCAGTATTTAGTTGGGCCTCCTTTGGCCTGTATTACTGCAGCAATGCGGCGTGGCATGGAGTCGATCAGTCTGTGGCACTGCTCAGGTGTTATGATAGCCCAGGTTGCTCTAATAGTGGCTTTTAGCTCTTCTGAATTGTTGGGTCTGGTGTATTGCATCTTCTTCTTCACAATACCCCATAGATTTTCTATGGGGTTAAGGTCAGGAGAGTTTGCTGGCCAATTAAGAACAGGGATACCATGGTCCTTCAACCAGGTACTGGTAGCTTTGGCACTGTGTGCAGGTGCCAAGTCCTGTTGGAAAATGAAATCTGCATCTCCAAAAAGTTGGTCAGCTGCAGGAAGCATGAAGTGCTCTAAAACTTCCTGGTATGTGGCTGCGTTGACCCTGGACCTCAGAAAACACAATGGACCAACACCAGCAGATGACATGGCACCCCAAACCATCACTGACTGTGGAAACTTTACACTGGACTTCAAGCAACGTGGATGAAGTGCCTCTCTTCTTTTCCTCCAGACTCTGGGACCTTGATTTCCAAAGGAAATGCAAAATTTACTTTCATCAGAGAACATGACTTTGGACCACTCACCAGCAGTCCAGTCCTGTTTCTCTTTAGACGCTTCTGACGCTGTCTGTGGTTCAAGAGTGGCTTGACACAAGGAATGCGACAGCAGAAACCCATGTCTTTCATACGTCTGTGTGTGGTGGTTCTTGAAGCACTCACTCCAGCTGCAGTCCACTCTTTGTGAATCTCCCCCACATTTTTGAAGGGGTTTTGTTTCACAATCCTCTCCAGGGTGCGGTTATCTCTCTTGCTTGTACACTTTTTTCGACCACATCTTTTCCTTCCCTTCGCCTCTCTATTAATGTGCTTGGACACTGAGCTCTGTGAACAGCCAGCCTCTTTAGCGATGACCTTTTGTGTCTTGCCCTCCTTGTGCAAGGTGTCGATGGTCGTCTTTTGGACAACTGTCAAGTCAGCAGTCTTCCCCATGATTGTGTAGCCTATAGAACTAGACTGAAAGACCATTTAAAGGCTTTTGCAGGTGGTTTGAGTTAATTAGCTGATTAGAGTGTGGCACCAGGGGCCATCAATTTTGAACCTTTTCACAATATTCTAATTTTCTGATATGATGAATTTGAGATTTTCATTTGTTGTCATTTGTAATCATCAAAATTAAACAAAATAAACATCTGAAATATATGAGTTTGTATGTAATGTATGAATATAATATACAAGTTTCACTTTTTAAATGGAATTACTGAAATCAATCTACTTTTTCATGATATTCTAATTTTATGACCAGCACCTGTATATGAGGCAACAGATATCAAAAGGTAAATCAAGAGAAAACGTGTGAAGCAAACCTCCCATATTTCTAGTCCTCCTTATATTACTCATGCAAGAAGGCAAACATTTATATGCATATGTACTATTATGTCATTACTGACATGGTCTTTAACACCAAAATAAACTATAATGATAATCACCATGATTAAAAGACCCAACAGCTATCAATTATTTAATAATTCTATTCAATCTTTTCTTTATTGAAGGTTTGAAGAAAAATTATTTATTTTAGTTTTTTGCACGATGTATAAAATGTAACAGTACAAAACTTTATATTTTTATTTAATTTCATAAAATATAATGTGTGTTCTACTGTGTGTATTTCATTAAAAATATATTTTGATACGTGTTGCAAATGCAAAAAGAATGCATTTTATTCTTAATTGTATTTCCTCTGTTTTCTCTGTTAACATATGTAAACTCTGGAGATTTTGGAGTCTGGAAATTACATATTAAATGTAAGATGATGCTAATTCTAATATCCCAATCAGGATTTAGCCTATAATATTTCGGGTTCAATTCACCAAACATTTTGTAAAACCTGAGTTTGTGTGTCCTCCTGATATCCAAACCACATCAAGGGAAAATCTGCTCCATGAATAGTTTTTTTTAAGCAATGTCTCAACATGTAAATGATTTGTTATTCATGTTGTGAGAATGTAGTCATCAACACCTTCAGGAGGCTTTTAAGAAAAAAATTACAGAATAACAGTCAAGAAGGCACAGTGTCTATATTTTATTTTCACAATGCATGATTAATTAGTACAATAGATATGTATGTTTTCTACACAAAATCCTTTTTAACTTAATGGAATGGGGTAAAGGGATGAATGGTTCTACTCCCTTTTACAGGCTTCAGGATTAAAACAAAAATAAACAGTTTAGAGAAAGGCCTTTATTTCTATGATGATTTGTTCTAATTACTGCTTGTGTTGTTGGTTACTGTGGAGGACAGTTGCACTAGAAACAGAAATAGCTGACATTACTTGAACATGAGTTTGGTGCACTACTGAAGAAGACATGTAAAATGACCAAAAAACAGAGAACATTACATTGCTTTATGAAGTTTTACTTAAACTTATAAATAAAAAACTATTGCAGATATTGCAACATATTATAAGCCTCTAAATCTGAGTGAACATAATAGTTTCTGCTCATAAAAATAAAAAATAAAATAACTGTTCTTCAACTTTTGGTTGTGGTATGACCCATGATAGATTTCTTCGTGTTTCTTTCTGGTCTTAGTAGTATTATGTAACACTTAGGTCCAAATAGTGCCACCAAGAGACCAAAACTGGAGGCCAGAATGGCAAACACCTCCACTGCATCTGCATATTTACCTGGAGAGTTGATATAAGCCGGAACAAATGCCACCCACACAGCACAGAAAATCAGCATGCTGAAAGTGATTAGTTTGGCCTCATTAAAGTTATCTGGAAGATTTCTAGCTAGAAATGCTAACATAAAGCTAAGAATGGCTAGTACACTGATATAACCCAGTAAAGCACTGAAGCCGATTGTGGACCCTACTACGCACTCATACACAATCTTGTCATTATGGTACTGAGTGTTTTTATGAGGTACTGGTGAGACAGTGACTATCCAGGCAGTGCAAATTGCTGCCTGAATGCAAGTAAGAGTAAAAACCGTTCCTCTCTGCTGTACAGCACCAAACCACTTGAGACTGGCTGCACCACCTGGTTTAGAAGCTTTGAAAACAGCTAAAACCACCATTGTTTTAACCAGAATGCAAGAGACACAAAGCACAAAGCTGATTCCAAACGCAGCATGTCTGAGTTGGCATGTCCACAGTCTGGGTCGACCAATGAACAGCAATGAACACAGGAAGCAGAGTTTAAGAGACACTAGGATCAGAAAGCTCAGTTCTGCATTATTGGCTCGTACAATGGGTGTGCTTCGATGATAGGCGAAGATCCCCAGAACAACAGCACAAATAGATGTTCCCAGCAATGAGGTCACCGTCAAACAGATGCCCAGAGGTTCCTGATAGGAGAGGAACTCTGTTTTTTTATGAACACAATGATCACGCTCTGGGCTGGACCAGAAATCTTCAGGACAGCTAACACACTCCAAGGAGTCTAAGAAAGAAATGAGAATCACATTTGTTAAGCACAAGCTCACTAAATAGATAAGATATCAATTAAGCCGAATATTATTAGTTAGTAATTCAGTTTAGCAGAATGTTTGAAAATGGCACCTTTGATGCTGATATCAAAAGGTAATGATATGTATGATGTAAAAAATAAATTTTAAGGTGTTACATTTCTGTTTTTGTATCGACAATATACTTTCGCTTAATGTTCCATGGCTGTGTGGAGGTAGTATTCTCTCAACATCTACTGGGAAGCTAAATCATGGTTGCACAATAACTCCACTGCATGGAACCTACAAGAGAGTGACTCTCCTCAACATCGAGCACCTGATTTATGGCATCTAGCTTTACAACTGCAGTCAGAATATCAAGACAGAAAACAGAAAAAGACAACCTGACTGGATTCTATTAAGATGAGATATTCCAGTAGTTTTATTCTGCTGATCTCCAGCTGTAAAAAAAAAAACTTAAAGAAGTGTATTGATCCTTTTATTTTGCTTTAAATTTAGGGATATTTAGTCATGTATTTGTGAATTATCACTTTGTTCCATGAAGTGATTTCAATAATAATAATAAAAAAAAATGCAGCATCTTTGAAAAAGTAAGGTAAAAAATAGGAAGCTCTAAAGTTCTTAAACTCCACGCTGTTCTAATAGTTACTATTATTGAGGAGGTCACTGTTTGGTTTAGATGCATTAACCACAAATCTATATCTCTTTTTAAGTTTAAAGCACCAAGATACAGTAGCTATGAACACTATACCAACCAGTTTCATTGCTGACCTTTCCTTCAGAGCATGGAACACAATAAAAACAGCACAAAGGTTCTCCTTTCTTCCTGACCATATGTGTTCCTGGATGGCAGCTCTCACTGCACACTGACTTTGGAGGCTACAAAAAGTGAAACAGATGTATTTCATGTCATGCAATGAGAGTAAAGCATGTTATATTAAATTAAATCAAAAATGGGGCACCTTTTTGGATTCAAAGTTCCAGAAGATTCTGTCCTCATAAATTTTAAGTTCTTCTTCTTGGGATGAAGACCGCTTGATCTCACCCACATTCTGAACTTTAATGTTTCCATCGGGCTGCCGAATCCAGTTCATGATGTCATATATTGGTAACACATCACCATTTTCATCAAACGTAACTTGGTCACCAAACTGTGTGGTGAAGGTCACCTTTTCAAGGTAGTACATTACCTATAAACAGGGAAAATTTAACAAACACATTTATATCTTGTAAAATGCATTTTTTCGCATAAGGACTGCTTATTCAGATATCCAGGGAAATATAACTTGATAATTAGTTTAATGTACAATGCACATAAACCTATTAAATAGATAATCAGCCATTCTTCTTTAAAATCGAATTATCACCACACCACAAACGAGACAGAGTGAATATTTTTACTTATTAAAAAAAAATAATAATAATTTTATCATGTTTGCAAAAATGTTACCTTAGGAGCAACTAATAATTCTTATATTTTCAATAGGAGGATGAGGATTTGTAGTCATAGAATATTTACGAACACATCACAAGCTAGCATTTTGAAAAATAATGGAAATTCAAGTTGCCCCATTGCAGGTATAGCACCCATATCTGACATCAACAGTTTTTATGGTTCATCAGCATTTTTTTGTGCTTGTGGTTCTAGTCTTTGTGGTTGTGGTTCTTGTATTTATGTCAAATCTTTAAGGTATACATACTGTAATTATACATATGGAGACATTTTAACCTGATTGCATACCTGTGAGAGCTCTAATGTGTGTAAAGATGCACAGTTCCCATTAAATGGTGCTTGCTCTGGAACGCAGCTCAGCATGTCATTAAGTGCATGTGCGAGTGCATAGACAGCTTTGTAGATATTATACTCAGGCCGGAGTTCTGACACATCCAGCAGGTCAGTCTCCACACTGTTTAACTCTTCTTTTCCAGTGCATATTCTTCCGCCATCCTCTACCCAACCTGCTGGAGGCGGGGAAAACTTGCATTGAAATGTGTGCTCCCAAAAAAGTTTCACCTGAAACATATGTATGGAGATAAAACATTACACACCTACATGAATATACTGTATAGAGCATACTTTTTATGCAGATGGTCCCGGCCTTACACAGTTGAACTCTTACCATGTTATTTTCAGAATAGTTGTTGTTGTATTGCTCAGGATGAATCCTCAACAGAAAATCTCGAAGTCCTGGTATTTCTCCTCGACGGATAGCGATGCCAAGTGTTCCACCAAGAAATGGTGAGAAAGCAGATATTTGGAGTCCTTCAAGCAATGTCAAAGCCTCACTGGCAATCCACTGAAGGCCTGTCACATTCTGTTTTACCACCTAAATATCACACACAATTCTTTTTATTAACCTTAAAAAAAATTACTGTCAACCTGTGTAACTGGCATATTTTTTAATCATTATTAGAAATGTTAACTACTTAACATGCAGAAAATCATATTTAATGTGAGAGGTGCATATTAAAAAAAGAACAATAATAAAAAGATTTTTCCAGCCAAATCAAAGCAGATATTGTACTTATTAAGCGAGTTAATTATTTGCATCTTGTTTGTAAAACTTAGGATATTAAAACTGAATATACATTTCCCAGAATCAAATGAAAATCTTACAATTTTGGTTTGTTAAAATGTGTTTTCTGATTTGGGCCAATACAATATAACTTTTTTCTCTAACCTGTTCCATGAGTTGGATCATGTGCATCTGATGTGCAAACACAATTACTACGCGTGCTGTAGATTTTGTCATCACATCAACAATCCTTTTATATTCAGTCGGATTGTCTCCCCAGGGTAAAATCTCAGTGTATGCCAAACAGCCTCCACCTGATCGAGTCAGGTCCGATTGGAATGATCTGGAAACATGCACGCCATAATCATCATCGCTGACCAGGAGACCGGCCCAAGTCCAGCCAAAATATTTCAGAATCTGAATCATGGCGCGAACCTATTGAGGATGGAGTCAAAATATATATACTGACTTATTTTAAAGCCTTACAGAAATACATACAGTTTAAACATGTATATGGTGCTTAGCAAAGTGGAACTTTTAATGGCTTACCTGAAATGCATCGCTTGGAATTGTTCTAAAGAAAGATGGAAAACGCTGCCGATCACTCAGACAAGAACATGTGGCAAAATAACTTACCTAAAATAAAATAAATAACATTTTACATACTCAGTCAAACCACCTTTTTTTCTTGCAACTGATTGACTATAAAATGCAATTTTAAAATATAAACTTACCATAGGCAGTTTGTACAAACCTAAAACATTTGAGGCAGCAATAGAAAAAGTGGAAAAAGGATCACCAACGATTCCCACAACTGGAGGGGTTCCTGAACAGTTCCGCTGAATCACAAACTGCTCCTCCTGGCCACTAGCCATTGACAAAGCAGCACTGAACCCAATGCTAAGAGTGGCACAGTTGTCATAAAGACTGTATCCTAGAGTCACATTAGGCAACAAACTGGAGTTGTTATTAATCTCATCAACAGCGAAGGCCATAGTCATAGCATGTCTGAACCCTAGAATGTCAAAGCTAACAAAAAAAAAGTCTGGCTTTATTACTCATTTTATATTTACAGTAATGTAAGTATGTTGTCCACTAGTATTGGGATACTTACCCTTGGCAGCTGGGTTGTTGTGGTACTGAGATGAATGTGTGTTCAGAGAAGGAAGAGCTGTAGTGGACTTCAAAAAGTCCTCCCAGGATTACATCACCAGGTTTGTGCAAGCCGTTAAGATAAAACTTTCTCAGTAACTTACACGATGAAGACAGAAATGAAGACTCAGAAAAGAAAAAGGAGGAATAAATCAGGAATTGATAGACATTCATAAGCAAATATTTGATAAACAAAGCCCCCATACCTGCCCTTCCACCAACCTGACTGTCACTCTTGAAACTGATATATATACAGGGCTACGACAGCCTGCTTTAGTTTCTCACACCACCCATCTGGGCGTAATAGTGGCCTCATGGGTGAACTATGGGCATTATGCTGTCTTATTCATGATTTATTCAAGAGAATAACAAACCAGGAAATTAGTGTTTGTTGTGTTACTCGCTATCCAAGTATAACAATTATTGGATTTAAATATTTAAATACTATTTTTTTTTTTTCTGAAGAACTTAGCTTAACGCTATATTTTTTTAATCGACTAAATCAAATTAAAACCACATCATAACTGGCTGGCATTTCAAAATGTATGCTTTACATGCTTGATATTTCATATGTAACATAATCAACAGCCCAATTGAAATAGTTTTTTATTGATTTATTTACAACTTACCAAAAATAGATTCTGCATGATAGTTGTGTGTCACCAGATTACTGATGCCATTCTTTGTTGCTATTAGGAAAAATAATTCACAATTTATTTTGTATCGTTTTTTGCAGAGTCAGTGAAGAAAGGGAAATCATGCCTTACTAAAGAATAGCTGCGAATTACTGTAAAATGTACCAAAAATTTATCATTATGCATGAAATTAGTATTTCCCCATCAGATATTAATTTTTAAGTAAAACATCACAACTTGTGGGGATCAAGTTTGTATGTTTGTAATATTTTCATGGATCTACATTGTGTAATTTAATTATTGACTAAAGTTGTCATATAGTCCTCTGTGTCAAAGAAAGAAGTTGCAATTTAACACTTTGGAGTTCCACGGCCCATGATAGCTTTCTTTGTGTTTCTTTCAGGTTTCAGCAAGATTATGTAACATTTCGGTCCAAAGAGTGCCATCAAAAGACCAAAGCTGGAGGTTAATATGGCAAACACCTCCACTGCATCAGCATATTTGCCAGGAGAGTTAATGTAGGCAGGTACAAAGGCCGTCCACACAGCGCAGAAGATCAGCATGCTGAAAGTGATTAGTTTAGCCTCATTAAAATGATCTGGCAGGTTTCTCGCCAGAAATGCCAACAGGAAGCTGATAATTGCCAGTAAGCCGATATATCCCAATAATACTGCAAAACCAATTGTGGAGCCAACCACACACTCATAAATGATTTTGTCATTGTGGTACTGGGTGTTTTTATGAGGTACTGGTGAAGCTGTCCCAATCCACACAGTGCAAATTGTGGCTTGGATGCAAGTAAGAACAAAAACTGTCCCTCTTTGTTGTACAGCACCAAACCACTTTAGATGCATGCCACCGCCTGGTTTGGAGGCTTTAAACACAGCCAGAACCACCATAGTTTTAACCAGAATGCAGGATACACAAAGCACAAAGCTGATCCCAAATGCTGCATGTCTCAGCTGACATGTCCACAGTCTGGGTCGTCCAATGAACAGCAGCGAGCACAAAAAGCACAATTTAAGTGACACTAAGATTAGAAAGCTCAGCTCTGAATTGTTTGCTCGCACCATAGGTGTGCTTCGGTGATATGTGAAAATCCCTAAAACAACAGTACAGATGGAAGTTCCCAGCAAAGAAGCTGTTGTCAAGCAGACTCCCAGAGGTTCATGGTAGGAGAGAAACTCTGTTCTCTTAAGTACGCATTGATTACGCTTTGGGCTGGACCAGAAATCCTCTGGACAACTAAAGCACTCAACAGAGTCTGAGAACAAGACAAACAAACATAGACTTTACAGTTAGTCATAATTTAAGAAGCCACATTGATTCATCAACATAACAGCTTCATTTTGTAAAGGTTACTATGTAACGTATGAAGAGAAAATGGATTATGGATTAAAAAGAGCCTAAGGAAAATATGATGTTTGGATAAAGTACAACACTGAATACAAATGTAAATTAAACTTGGCATCCAAATGATGCCCATCTTGAACAAAGTGAATATCTACAGGTGTATTCACTGTTAAAGTGGTATTCTTTTGTATTTTTTTTTTATAATCCAATTTGTCCTATCTATCTAAATGAATCATTTTTATTATCAGTAATCAAGATTAATAATATTAAATAAGAGTACAATGCAATACTGGCTTTTTGTAATTTTGTTTTGCAAATGAAGCTTTAATTCTAGAGCCAGCAAATTATTACATTTATGTTTCCTTCTACACCAATCAGTGATGTCTTGTTATGTCTTGTCAGTTTTCTCTCTATTTTCTATTCAGATTTATGTATTTCAGTTGGAACATTCATACATATAATTGTAATTGAAACCATAATACCAACTTGTTTCGTTGCTAATCTTTCCTTCAGGACAAGGGACACAATCAAAACAGCACACAGGTTGCCCCTTCTTTCTTGCCATGCGACTCCCAGGATTACAGTTCTTGCTGCACACAGACCGAGGTGGCTGAAGACACAGTTAACATTTGATCTGATCTCTTTTATTCCCAACATTGCTTATATATAATGACAACTTTAAATGAAAAAGGAAAGTAACCTGATTGTTCTCAAAATTCCAGAAGATTTTGTCTTCATTAAGAGTGAGTTCTTCATCACCAAAACTTGTTTTCCTTACAACGCCTACATTCAGAACTTGAATTTTACCATCAGGGAGCCATTGCCAGTTCATGATATCATATATTGGCAAAGCATCACCATTCTCATCAAATGACACTTGATCACCAAATGGAATGGTAAAGTTGACTTTTTTCAAGTAATACATTAGCTGCAAATGTAAGCAGATCAATTATATGACAACGATGCAAGATTTTATTTTCATTTCTTATTGTTATTGTTCACCAGCTGAGAAATGGTATAAAAACCAGAAACTAATAATACAAATGTAAGCTATCCAATATAAGCAGGCATGCATGATATTCAGTTTTGTATTAACCTAAATACAATGAGTTAATACAAGTTAGTTTTTAAGTGAATTGAAATTGATATCCCACCTGCCAAGCCTCCAGACTGTGCAGAGATGCACAGCTGTGTCTGATAAAAGGCCCTCTTCCTGGCTGACACTGCAGCATGTCATCAAGAGCGTATGCCAGAGCATACACAGCCTTGTAAATGTTATATTCAGGCCGGAGGTTAGAAACATCAAGAAATTCAGTCTGCACAGTCTCTAAATCTTCTTTACCAGAGCATAATGCCCCTCCAGCCTCTAGCCAGTCAACAGGTGGGGGAGCAAATCTACACTGAAAAGTGTGTTCCCAGAACTGCCTTATCTGGAAAGTATGGGAAAAAAAAACACCTGAACCAAGAAAACGTAGTTTGATTATGCAATTATAAGTCAAAGTTAATGCAAAATCTCACCATAGTGTTTTCACTGTTGGTGTTATTCCCAGGTTTTGTTTTTAGAAGAAAATCCCTAAGTCCTCGGATTTCTCCTCGACGGATTGCAATGCCCAGCGTTCCACTCAGGTATGGCATAAGACGAGATGTTTGGAGCACAGCTGCTGATGCCCATGCTTCACTCGCCATCCATTGCAAACCTGTCACATTTTGCCTTAAAACCTGTAGAGTGTTACATATAGTAAAAAAGAGTTATATGGAGCATTTAGCTTCAAGCAGAATGCTAAATGATATACTGAGAAAGAAAGATACCTCCTCCATCAGTTGAATCATATTGATCTGATGTGCGAATACAATGACAACGCGAGCTGTGGATTTTTTCATTCCTTCCACAATTCGTGTCAGTTCAGCCGGATTTTCACCCCATGGTAAAATTTCATAGTATGCAAGACATCCTAATCCAGACTCAGTCAGCTTTGACTGAAAGGACTGGGCAACATGAAGCCCGTAATCATCATCACTAACCAGTAGACCAGCCCATGTCCAGCCAAAGTGTTTTAAAATCTGAATCATTGCATCCACCTAAGTGGACATACTGCGTGAGATATTTTCTTTTCATTTTAAATCATTACAATTGCATTATACTGAATAGAAATATTCTACAGAACCTATGCTTTAAAACAGTGGTCTCCAACCCTGGTCCTCAAGATCTACTGTCCTACAGATTTTAGATGCATCCCTGCTTCAACACAGCTGAATCAAATGGTTGATTACCTTTTCAAGCCATTCATTTAATCAAGCTCTGTTGAAGCAGGGATGCATCTAAAATCTGTAGGACAGTAGATCTTGAGGACCAGGGTTGGAGACCACTGCTGTAAAAACTAATGTAATTTGGCCTATGTTGTACCTCATTTATTAAAAAAAAACAAAACAAAATCTGTCTCACTTGAAAAGTATCACTTGGGATTGTCCTAAAAAAGGATGGAAACCTTCGACGATCACTTAGGCAAGAACATGTAGCAAAGTAACTCACCTAAAAGGAACAAACAGGTAAAATGTGGTTAAAATGACCTCAAAGATATCACTGAATAATCTGTACATTAGGAGAGCAAAATAACAAACAAAAGCAAAAAATAACTTACAATGGGCAATCTGAATAAACCAATGACATCAGATGTGGCAATTGAAAACGTTGAAAAAGAATCACCGACGATCCCCAGGACTGGAGGGCCCCCTGAGCATTTTTCCTGAGGAAAAAACTGTTTCTCCTGACCACTGGCCAATGACAATGCAGCACTAAATCCGATTACTAATGTGGCACAATTATCATAAAGGCTATATCCAAGAGTCACATTTGGAAGCAGATTTGGGTCTTTGTTAATTTCCTCAATGGCAAATGCCATGGTCATGGCATGCCTGAACCCTGGAGAGTCAAAGCTTGAACACAAAATGTTACATTTTAATTTAAAAAAGTACCACAACCTGTGAACAAGTTATACGAGTGTGAAACTTACCCTTGACAGATGTGCTCACTTGGTTCTGAGGTGAATGTTAGCTCAGGAAACACAGAAGTGTAGTGTACTTCAAACAGTCCCCCTAGAATCACATCACCGGCTTTATGCATGCCATTAAGATGAAACTCTCTTCTTATTTTGCAAGATGACATTGAAACAATAAAGGGGAAGAAACTAATTAATAGAAAAAACAAGGACATAAATTTGTGAAGAAACACATCCATAATTACATCTCCTCATACCACCGTTTCTTTCTTCCCTGAATGGACATTTTATAGGGATTGTCCTCTCCCTTGATGGCTTTCATCACTATAGGAGGGCCAGAGGAGATCTTCAGAGAATAGCTGAATCTTCACTAATTTCAGATTTCTGAGAACTTAGAACTCTTTCTTTCCTTGACAGCACATCTTTGCAACAGCAGAGTAAGAACAACAGCTTGATAAAGATAGTAAAATGAAAAAAAAATGAAAGAAAATACACAATTTGTTTGGATTTTTGGTTCCTTTTGTGTTTATGTTTTTAGAATGTCCTTGTTGATTATACAGTATATGATCTTGACATATTTTAGAAGATACCTGTATCATATTTTGGGAATATTTTCTCCTTTTGAGTATCCGCCCCCAACTGTAACTACCTAATCAGTCCTGATGAGTTACGCTTTGTTTTGACTGAGGATGTGTATATATGGGGGAAGAATGGGCTAATCAGTTGATAGGAAACAGGTGTGGATGGAAGCAACTAGAAGGCAGCTAGGGTGAAGGGAACTGGCACTAGGGGGCAACAGAGAGTAACTCCAAAGATATAACACTGCTTAAATATAATGGAATAATAGTAGTCTCTACTCTTGTAAAGAGTAATGGGAATCCTACAATAAAAAATAACAAAAAAAGAAAACAACTAAAATGACACAAAGTGGAAATGAAACCCAAAAACAAAGACTTTCACCAATCAAAGGGTAACTGAAAAACATCTTTCAAGTCCAGTCCCAGGATTACATATATAAATATCCATTGACATCTTATGGTTTGGTCCATTACTGTCACTCTTGAAAAACAAGAAATGGCACTTAAAATGTTTGCAAAAACTGTGTTCTTTTATCAAAAGTGAGAATATAAAATGCTGCAAACTCTGTGCCGCCAACATTCTGTATAGAAATAGGAAACAAGGAAGGAACCTAGCTGCGTCAAATACAAACCAACCTTTCACAGTTTGCATGCTGTACCATGTTTTAAAGCTTTGCAGGCTGTTTAAATAAATCAGTTTAGGTTTTATGAATCAAAGTATTTTCAAAACAGAAGTGATCAGTCTGGCGGTAATGTTCATTTTTAAACTCCCTACATTAGTAACCATCCATTAAATATTACAATATTTTGTACATTTTTTGATAAATCATAGAGATAAAAGTGTGTAAAAAATCACAATTATTAGCAGCTTCCGAAATACTCAAACCGAGATATATGATCAGCAACCAGGCTACATCAACTTATTTCACTTATAACCCTTTTTTTTTTTTTGACTCTTTAATGTTTAATGTTTATTTAAATTACCCCAGGTTTTCTTGAATATTTACAGATTCCTAAATGAAGAGTTGGCTAATTTGCGATGGACTAATTTGCTATTTGTTGCAGTAGCTGCATGTCTCCTTACATGTGTAGTTTCTCTATGGATACTCCTGCTTCCTTCCAGTTAAAGAAATTTATGACTGGTACATCACCCTTAGGTACGATTTATTATGGAAATGGTTGTTTGTCCATGGGTGGTCGGTCCAAAGTGTAACCTGCCTCATGTAGTCAACGACAGATACCTGTTAGAACCACTGCAAACCTATAGCAGGTGTAGAAAATGAATAGGTTGTTTTTATGTGTTAAAGTAAAGCAAAATATAGCAATAGCAAGAATAATTCATATTGGAAATATTTATGACATTTTAACTTTGTTTCCATGGACATTATCTTCTGAAAAAAATATTTACTTAAATTTCTGAAATATATTTCATATCCACTAGATGGTAGCATTGCTCTTATACTTTTCACTTCTGCCTGCTTACTTGACAGACTGGAATCATATAGCATCTTACATCTTTCATGCTTTCTGTTAAAGAGAAAGGTATGCTATTATCCGGTCGTGAAGTATCGGAGCACATTACGTATACAAGTAAGAGTACAAACACGTGGTATCGGGCCCGATGCTGATAGCAGTATCGGCATTACTGCCTCCCTAATTTACTCTCACAGACATAGAGGTCACAAAGTGCTTCACAAAATGAAAATACAAATAAAATACATTTACAGTCACAGAAGACATGGTCATAAAACAACACTTAATCTGCTGGAATAAAAATTTCTTAAATAGGTTTTCAGTTGACTCTTAAAACCATCAACAGAATCATGTAAGAGCAAGGAAAGCGAATGATTGTTCCAGAGCGCCAGCGCCACTGCCTGAAAGGAGCAATCTCTCCTGGTCCTGTAACGAGTACGAGGGACCATGAGCAGTTTCTGGTCCTGAGACCTCAGCCTCCGAGAGGGGGTATAAGGACAATGTGTGAAGTTGTTGAAAATGGGAACAACAGAAAACAAAAAAGGCAATGCTAAGCTTTATTATAATTGCTAAAAAAAGGACATATATTATAAAGACAAATCAAAGACCACTTAGGTATTGCCCCTTCTCTCTGAACTTTGATGATACTTCAGAGGTGAGCTATGGTAAATGGGAAATGGCCCTTACTTATATACCACATTTTCAAGTCAGGACTTAACAAAGTTCTTTGCAATACATTCAGTCATTCACACATTCACGCACACACTCACACAGTGAGCTATAAAAACATTCCGCATACACTTGCACTTGATTCATTTTTCAGCGATGAAGATCTTGTTGCTGCTTGCAAGCTTTAAATTGGCTCTGAGCCTGTATGAGGGGGGATCAGAGGAGGTCAGAATTGTGGCTTCACCTATGAAATGTAGCCTGCGGGGTTCAGATCATCTACCTGCATTCGCAATGAATGGGGACTTCATCATCGGGGGTGTTTTTTCAATCCACTACAAGGAGCTCACAGAAACAGACAACTACACCACTGTGCCTGAACCACCGAGCTGCGCAAGGGGGTTAGTAAAAGGGAGAGCTTGAAAAAAAGAAAATGGGAAGGCAATTTTGAAATAAGTGACGACCAATATGTTTGGTATTATGCTAGTTTTTGTTGCAAAGTTCTTAGCATTTCATCAATACGGCATGCATAAATATTTATGTATAACAAAAAATATTTATTATTTATAAGTATTATTCCAACAAAGTTGTTTTTTTTAACTTATGTTTTGTGGTAAATATGCAGATAATATATTTTACATAGAAATGTTTGTTATCCTAATTAGAAGAAAGTAATGACTCTATGTTGTATTCAACAGTGACATGTTGTAAATTTTATGTTTTTTTTAATGCCTTTTGTTCAGCATAAACAGTCGTGAACTGCGCTTCTCTCGAACAATGATCTTTGCAATTAAGGAGATCAACAACAGCACAGAGCTGCTGCCAGGTGTAAAACTTGGTTATCAGATCTATGATTCATGTGCCTCTGTGCCCATGGCCATGCATGCAGCATTTCAGCTGTCCAACAGGCAGGACCCTGCGTTTCAGACAGGTGATAATTGCTCTTCATCTGGAATGATAGTTGCTGTTGTTGGGGAGTCCGGTTCCACCCCATCCATTAGCATCTCACACATTTTTGGGCCCTTCAACATACCTCTTGTAAGTAGTTATTATAAAATGTTATTACTTTAGCTTGAAAGCTTAACCTGATAAATTGTTTGTGTTCTTGCTATAGGTAAGCCACTTTGCCACTTGTGCCTGTCTGTCAGATAAAGACCAGCATCCAACATTTTTCAGAACAATTCCCAGTGATCAATTTCAAGCCGATGCACTGGCGAAGCTAGTGAAACAATTTGGTTGGAGTTGGATAGGAGCTATTCACTCAGATTCAGATTATGGTAATAATGGAATGGCGTCTTTTCTAAGTGTAGCACTCAGAGAGGGGATCTGTGTGGAGTACATTGAATCTTTCTATCGGACGGACACAACCAGCAAGATTCGCAGAGTAGCTAATGCCATCCGCAGGTCTCTGTAATTATATGAAAGTTAAATTTTATCTGATGATTGATTTTGTTGAAAAAAAATACAGAAGAGCAGAATGTGATGACTATTGTACTGCTCTGTACTCCTCAGGTCAACAGCAGTGGTTGTAGTAGCATTTGCAGCTGCTGGTGATATGAAGTTCCTCTTGGAGGAGCTGGCGCAGGACCCTCCGCCGCCTCGTCAGTGGATTGGAAGTGAATCCTGGATTACTGACCCTCACCTTATGAGCTTTAGTTTTTGTGCAGGGGCCATTGGAGTTGCCATTCAACAATCTGTCATCCCAGGTCTTAGAGACTTCCTTATAGATCTCTCTCCTTCTGAAGTGCCTGTCTCCTCAGTACTTACTGAATTCTGGGAGGATGCATTTAACTGCAGCTTTACAAAAAGTGAGGAAATGTCATCTATACATTGGTGCTCAGCGATATCTGAACTAAAACATTTTGATGAATGTTTTTTGGACTGTTTTATGAGTATCTTAGTAGATCATCCAGTAGTCTGTTTGACATTGGTTTTTTTGAATGTATATTTTAAAAAACCCTAAACAAAAAAAATATATTTTTCTATTATTTCTTTTTTTATCGTTACATTTACCATCTCTGATACTAGTTTTGATGTTGTATATAAAATATTTTCTGCTGTTTACAACCCAAAGAAATTACTTTGTTAGTTTAGAGTTAATTCTATTAAACAATTTGTTTTTTAAAAGTTCCCTAATTATAACTTCTTATGTCTGCATTTTTAGGTACAACCATAAAGGGTAAACTTTGTGATGGAACTGAAGACTTAAAGACACTAAATAATCTCTATACTGAAACTTCTAAATTTAGAATTACTAACATGGTGTACAAGGCTGTCTATGCAATAGCACATGCTATTCACAATGCATTGTGTCAGGAAAAAGAGTCAACCACTCGTTGTGACAAACACATCAGACTGGAGCCCAAACAGGTCTGTTTAAATAAATCTTCATTTATTTATTATTTATTTTTGAAATACTTCTTATAAAGTATTTCATTTTCTCTCTGTTTCTGTCCTAAAAATCAAAGATTTTCACCGAATTAAGGAAGGTGAACTTTTCTAGAAATGGTTATCATGTATCTTTTGAT